ATACATCCTCAGCAAGCTTCATATTCTTCGTGTGAATACGAAGAACCTCAAGACGCCCAACTTCATCAGGGACACCAATATCAATTTCCCTGTCAAACCTACCAAACCTCCTCAAGGCAGGGTCGATGCTATTGGGCCTGTTGGTGGCACCCATCACAATTATATGGGCCCGAGCCTTCAGCCCATCCATCAACGTCAGAAGCTGAGAAACAATCCTCCTCTCAACCTCCCCATTAGTTTTCTCTCTCTTGGGAGCAATCGAGTCAATCTCATCAATAAAGATGATGGAAGGCGCATTCTTCTCGGCTTCCTCAAACGCCTTCCTTAAATTGCTCTCGCTCTCGCCCGCCAGCTTGGACATGATCTCGGGCCCATTGATGCAGAAGAAGAAGGCACCAGTCTCGTTGGCCACAGCACGCGCTATTAGAGTCTTCCCAGAGCCTGGAGGCCCATAGAGGAGAATGCCCTTAGGAGGCTTCACACCAATTGACTTGAAGAGCTGGGGATGCCTGAGGGGTAGCTCGACCAGTTCTCGGATTTGGGCCATCTGCTTACGAACTCCGCCCACATCGTCATAGCCCACTTCATTCAGCCGCTCCTCGTCTTCCCTCCTGATAGGCTCACCCTCACAGAAGATCTCAGTGTCGGGGGCCACCACGCAATACTCGCTTGGGTCTGTCTCGATGACCTTGAACTCCACGTGCCTCATGCCTCCCCTCACGAGAAAGAGGTCGCCTTTTCTCACGGGCCTGTATGCCTCGAAGAAATATGCTGTGGGAAGAGCAAAAGAATAAGTTTTTAAGCAACATTGGAGGAGAAGGGATATATATAGGTCGTCATCAGAAATGATCAACTGGTAAATTACCAATGTTGAAACAGAAACCAATTCAGTGTTTTTCAAGTCTCTTCTCCGTGTTTAATTAAGAGAAATTATATCAAAACAATCAACAATCCGTTAAAATCCCACTAAGTGGGGTCGGCTATATGGATCATATGTCGCCGTCGTGCTCGATCAAAACACATCCTCATTCCAATTTAAATCCTTTAAATCATTTTTTATTGTTTCCTTCCAAGTTTTCTTAGGTCTACCCCTCCCCCTTTTAATTTGTGTTCTTAATTCTAATGTTTCTACCCTTCTCACCGGGGCCTCAAAGTCTCTCCTACGCACATCAATATTCTCCCAATAAAAGCTACAAAATAAAAGGCTGCTTCAAATTAGTTTCCATACAATGTCTCGAAGGGCATAAACAATTCCATGCGATGAATTTATCCGTAATCGCTAACAGAAGAGAAACACAAATGAATTGTCCCTCAGCACCCATTAACATCACAAGAATACTGATCTTGAACATTACAGTATTATATAACAGTATTGTGGAAAGGTATAAAATCCTCCTTAGAAACAATAACCAAAGCAAGCAATAAGCAGAGCTAGAGAAAAATTCAAACGTATCAAGGAACTTACGCTTCAGGTAAGCATCAAATAGGTTTCCAGTAACTCCTTCAACAGTGTCATCTATAGGAAGAATGTGAATTCGCTTCCCGTACTTCACATCAGCACATTGATGCACTGAAACCACATCTCCCAGCCTGACCCTGAGGTTGCTCCGGATAACCTTATTCATTCGAAGCTTGTTTTCCTCACAAGTTTCGTCAGCAACGGCAATACATACTGTATCCTTTCTCTTCTTACCCTATTAACAGCAGCAACCAAAATCAAACCCACTGTATGAAAATTGCAAGGCTACTCCACAGAATCAGGTCATTGAGCTCGAAAGATGCAATAATTGTTTTTGTACTGGCTAAATCCAAATACCCATGTAGTACATTAACCCTTGATTATTATTATTGAAATCCATCATTACTACATATTGGTATTTACTATTGTGAAGATCAAAATGTAACCAACAAAATCAACAGAATTGTGTCACTGACCACAAGATAACAAAGGGCAAACATAATTATGTCAATACAAAATATCCTTTTTCTCTTTGAACCTATGACAATAACCCCATAAATCTTTCCTGATTAACTCATCCCAGAGTAAACATAAAAGTAATTTACAATGAAAGCGGAAAAACAAACTCATCAACATGAAATGCAAAATCAGATATTAAAAACAAAAGAGGGAAATATACAAACCTTGATTAAAATGGTATCCCCTCGAAACAACTGAAGCTTCTCCATAGTATCGGGGTGGATAGCCACCACAGAATTATCATCATTGGTGGCCTCCTCCACTACCAGACGATTTGGAGACTTTTTCCTCTCCAAAATCGCCGTGCTGAAGTCCCTCTTGGTGCCCTTACTGTAAATTACAGAAGAAAACCCACTTAAAATCCAAAAATACGTAACAATCAAACAAAAATGAAATTCAAGTCGGATGCTTGTGCAAGAACATCATCGTCATTGATACAAACAGCTCTGCAAAGAAGAAAACACTTACGGCTCGGAGGATTCAGCTTGAGTGCTCATGGCGTCGGATTATGCTAGCGAACGAGCCGTTTCTGCGATTTAGGGTTTTCAGCGATTTGTTGATGATAAGTTGATTAAACAATGGAGACGAAGGATCTGGGATTTGGGGTGGGAAAGTATCAAATATATAGAGAAGACTCCTTTTCTTGTTAGGAAAGAAAGGGGAACTAATGTGAACAGTAATAATTTTGGGCACGACTACAGTGCCTTCACGGTATGGTTCCCCTATTCTACTCTACACCGTTAGATGTTTGAAATTAATAATAACCATGTGATTTACTTAATCACCACTACATTACCATGTGGTGTAAGCCACATAATTTTAGTTATTGGAACCCACAACTTGTTAAGAAGATGTTCCTTCTTTCCTGCTATTATTTTACAAAGATTTTCTTCTTTTTATCGTATTCTATTTTTATGTTTATGCTTAGTATTTTTCTAATTAGGCAAAAAATAAATTTTAAATATGGTCTAGATGCCTAAATTGAACAACCAACTAGTATTCGACCTGTGCATTTGCACAGATATAAATAAACTATTGTGAGTATGTACATATAATGATTAATTATTTTTCTTTCACTTTTTTTGCAGATCAAATTTACAATTAAAAAAGTTGGAATATTTTTTTTTTTAAATTGCGTTTATCTGATTGGATGTAATGTATATTTTGGTACGTCTTTTATTTGTGAATTATTTATTATTCATTTAGGAATTTCAAATATATTTTTTATTTTCAAAAAAAAATTAAATGTAACAACAATAATAACATCTAATCACATTATACGGTCAACACATTATATGGTCAACTGTCATTAATCAAAAGTTTAAAATAATTTTTGTAATTTTGAAGTGATGAGTATTAATTATTTAATGATTAAATGAAAGATTAAATACATTAAAATGTAACGGTTTTTGGAGGAAAAATTATTAAATTGCCACATAGGTAAAATTAAATAGGTTTTATTAAATTCTATTAGCTAGTAATTATATATATATAGATGATGAGATTGCCGTTTTTTAAATGCAAATTATATACTATAAATATTGTAAAATTAATTAAGAGTTAATACCATCCTCTTTAAAAAAAATAAAAAAGATAACAATCCATCTCAATACAAGTTATATTTACCTGTTTAGCTGATAGTGGATTGTAAAAGCAAATTATATTAGTTGTTTATAAATAAACTAGTGCGCATCTCGTGCGATGCAAGGACGGGCTTTTCACTTATGACGTCTTCTAAAACTTTATATTAAACATAATTATTTATGTTTAACATCTCATTATTATAAGAAAAGAAATACAAAATATAAAAAATTATATATTTTTTTATTTTAAATACAAATCATGAGCATTGTTCGGGTGTGTATTAGTTGATATTAAATATTTATTATCTATATTAGTTCTAACTGTTTTTTTTTTTAATATATGTTCTTAAATGAAGTAGAACTCTAGCACAATTAGAATTAAATAGACCATATATGATTTATTTACTTATTTATTTTTTGTGTGTTTGGAATCAGACAAAATTTTTAGATTTTAATTAAATTTGTAATTTGTAACTATCATAACTGATATTATACGTTTAGTTCATGATACATGATGCTTAGTTATTTACAAGACAAAACATGAACTTTAGACTAGTTTATAAGTATATTATAATCTATTACTATATAATAAGGAGAAGAAAAATTATTTGGACAATTCGAAAAAAAACATTTCATTTTCCTGCTTCAGTATAATGTTTTTCCCGCTTCTTCATTTCGTTTTTACTCTATTTGAATTTATTTACATTATCCCGCCTATGCCACTTTTTCAATTTCAAAACATGATTCCAAAAAATCTCCCCAATCACTATATTACCAATATATGCGGCTCAAATTTTGTTTTACTTTAAATAAAAAGATCACATAGAAGATTTTTTGTACACATTTCATATTATCTAATTTCCCTACCATCTACCACGCACTGAAAAAAAATTCAAAAGTCTTTCAAACCCAAAATCCAATTAGGCCAAAAATTCACTCACTCCATTAAAATTCGCCTCGATTAGGCACGAGCTCTCAATCAGCTTCAGAGTCGGGCTTCGATCGGGCCCGCTGTTTAAGTTTAGATACAGGTCGAACGAACCCTGCCGACCGTTTGACATGTCCCTGAAGACCGGCACCGGGATATTCGATTCTGTGACGGTGAAATTTGGCTCTGTCAGCGGTGGAAGCCCCAAGTTTCTGCTTCACTTCAAGTCAAAATATTGAGATTTTTCTATTCGGAGGTCCATGGGATCGATGTATTTGGCGGTGGAGGCAGAGACTATGAGAAGAGAGACGGAGATGGCGACGACCGTTTTGTCTATTTGGTTTTCTCTTTCCCTTGAATCCCTTGATTGTTGATCTATGCTTCCTGTCCTGTGAAGCTCATGCGCCAAAAAAAAAGAAAAAAGTAAATCGAGATTAGAACTATCATTAGACTATGATTATATAATGATTTTTTTCAAAAAAAAAATTTGAAACTGATTCAACAAAATTTGTTGGGATAAGGTCGAGTTTGCAGAAAAAATTGATAAAACTAGACAACATGATGTTTGTTCGCAGAGTCTATAATATAATTATTTAATTTTAAAAAAAAAAAATTCAGAATAATGCTACAAACATTCGCATGCACCAGATCCATGTCTATTCTTCACGATCTTCATACGAACGGGCTTCCGTGTAGCAGGGATCGATTCAAGGGTAACCCGATAAAAACGGAACGTTTGTGACAAATTACTAACAATATACATTGATTTCGGTCATTTTTTATGTTTAGCTTACAAAAATTGGAGAGTATACTAAATTTTCTAAGTTTGGCGAAATTTCTGAAAATATATCGACCGAATATGGGGGAAGATTGTTGCGGCGTTCTGGAAAATGACCTAGGGCCTTCCTGAGAATTTATATGGATAACTCCTTTTTCAGCCGTCGGATTTAATGGGTTAATTTGAGTCGTTCGATCTGTAATTTTATAAATTGGGTCTGATTAATGTTACAATGATCGAGCTTCATACTAGGCCTACATTTTGGGCTAATAATTGACGTCTTAATGGACTTGATGGTTAAAAATTTCAGACCCATCCAGTTAGTTTACTCTTTAGTGTTAATCCATTTACATGTCATTGTATGATAAATGCAATTTAGTTAAAATTGTCCGTTTAAAATCTTTAATTAATTATAATATTTTGCATATAATTATTACTCAAGTACAATTTTTTTATATTATATTTATTTTTTCAATATACATATTGAACTTATATATAATTTTTTTAGTTAAACGAACTACACTACTAAACTTGGCAATCTTTTTTGAAAATTTTCAAAAAAATCCTGCCATAAAGCTTTAATTTTGAATTTTAAAAATATTTTAATTTTATTTTAGGATAATTTACATTTAGTATGAAAATAAAATAAACTATTAATTTTAGTATAAATAAAGATTCTCCCTTACTATATATTACAGTTGTAGCATTTCATATCTATTGCAATTAATATCACTTGCCTGCAACATCCCATACATGAAATTGATACAACTCAATATCTCTTACTATATAATACAATTTAGAAAAATTAAGAAAAAAAATCCGAAAGTGGAAAGTAATTTTTCCGCTTCTTTTTTCGATTTTTACCCTTTTCGGAGTTTTTATTTTTAAATTTTTGGTTAAATTCCGCCCATGCAAATTTGTTATGCGGATTAACTTTTTCAAAACTTTTGGATGCGATTTAAATGCACTACAGGTGAATCCTAAAATTATGGGAGTAATTCAAATTAAATAGGAATGTGTACATAAATTAAATAGGAATGTGTACATAAATCGTGTATATTAGCTGAATCCCAACAGTATAGGGGAAAGAGTCCAAACTAAATAGGAATGTGTACCATTTTTTGATTTAATTTCTGTTTGTACACTTGCGTGTATGCTAAATAGAATGCCGAAAAAACAGATATAAGTTATACTATGTTTTCTGTTTACAAATAATAATAATCATTATATATGCATATATGGTTAATTTTTCTGTCTTGCTATTATATATATTTTTTTTCTATATGGTATCAAGTTTTTAGGGTAGATATATGGAAGTTATATATCGCCAGGCATGAGTCCTAAAGAATAAATATAAATATTGGTTTTTAATGAGTAACGTGTAGTAGGAAATATAATAAAAAAAATATATAATTGTCTATCAATTGCTAAACAAATTTGAACATTATGTCTTTTACTCTATTTGAAATTCAAAGGTAAATTTTTAAATATATTCATTAACATTATTATTTATTTTTTTCTTATGTGATATATTCTAAATTTGGTTGTTAGATTTTTAAATTCAAACATTTAAAGGAAAAGACCACGAACAGATTTTTTGGTTGTATTTCATTTTATCTTAACTTCCATATAATCACATTCCTAACAAACTAATAAGTATAATACTTTTTATCCACATTTATATAATCGAATTTCTTAAATATAATTAATATAGAATTTTAACTAATTAATCATTTGTATAACTTGATTTATCTCATTAACAAACTTGTCAATTTATTTTTGAAATTAAAAAAATTTGGATGATTTTGATTTGTAAAAAAATAAAAAATAGCTTTACTTTAAAGTCTGGATTTTTTCCATTATTTTTTGTATATTAACAATCATATATTTGATAATTGATTAAAAAAGAAAAATTAAAACCGTAAGGTTTAATAATATTTTTTTTAAAAAAATATTATATAAAGAGAAGTGTTTAATAATATATATTTTTCATTGTTTGTATTTATTTTATTTCCATAATAGATGAGATGAGAAAAATATAAAAAAGTATATTTAAAATAAAGTCTAAAAAAAAGTTTAAAATATGAGCTCTTCCGTGCACTGCACAGGATATACACTAGTTTTGCATTGGTATGTTTAACATAATAAATAACATTGTCGATTAATTATTAAAATAGCTATATTTTAAATATTTGAGACAGTTTTAAGAAATAAAGTTGATGAGACCCACCGGTACAACTTGCTATGGCCGGTTTTTATTCCTTCAGTGGCATTAATCGCATGCATCAAGTGTAATATAAAAAAATTGATGTGTTAATTAGTGATTGGTCTTAAATTTGACGGAATGATTCCTTTGAATTAGCATAAAGGGACCTTAGTATTTTCCAATAATTTTATTGTTATTATTTTGCAATTCGTTATTTTATAATATATAATTTAATGAGCCAGATAGACTACTAAAACTAATATGTTATACCTCTTGGGTTTAGGATTCTTGTACCAACTCGGACTTTCAAATTCCAAAATATACCTTTTCGGCTTATCAATTTTACTGTATTTTTTAATATTTAGTATTCTTTTTCTATATCAGAAAATAATTTATATAAGAAATATGAAGGTGCAGCGCTTAACTCGAGTTCCGCTCAAGCGAGCGAAGCTTAATTTGCTGAGTCAGTTCACGAGCTCGAGATCAATTAATTTATCAAACTTAATAAGGTAAATTTGAATCTCAACGAGTCAAACTTAGTTAATTATTAGAATATAAAAGTAATTTTATTCATTTATAATGTATAACACATTTTTAGAATACGGTACGTTTTATTTTATTCTAGTTAAAATGTTATAGAGAAGATTAGTTGAAAACTGATTAGTATAATTCTGGGTTAGTTTCTTGGTCGTTGGTACTTTTATTATCTACACCATCTGAAAATGAAATTTAAGGTCAAATTGTTATCATTCTCATATTGTTGCTTTTAGAATAGAAATTTCCAAGTGATGAGTACATGTTAACCTACTCTTGACGTAAATCCAAAAATATCCAAATTCATTGAGGAACTTATAGTAGAAAAATAGTTGTCCGAACCTATAATCATTATATATAAAATAAATAAATAAATATGGAAAATCTAAATTTATTGTGATAATTGAAAAGTATCCTCATGGTCGGGCTAGTCTTCCTTATGCGGCTTCGCGCCGGTCGGGAATATTCTCCACGGCCACTTGCTCGTTCATTTCGGTGGGAGTCTCCCAGCAGCAAAGTGTCACCTCTGGCGGTTTCCCTCCTCGCCAGATCTGTCTAGGCGGTTCGAGTTTGACCGCAGTTTTTGAGTCTGGAATCTCAATTTGCAACTGCGATGAGATTTTGTGCAGCGGGGCGGTGTGGCTTGTGTGTCGGTTTGGGTGGTAGTACGGATTGTCTGCTAGGTTTAAGGGAAGTTTAATTGTATTTGTTTATTGGGTGTGATTTGTTTTTACCTTTTTTTAGTTTTTGTTTTGCTTAGTCCAGCACCGTCTGACTTTAGTCTTCTTAATGGAGTTCCAGTTATCTTTATGGAGTTTTTATTTTGTGGGTTTTTGTGTCTCTTTTATGGACTTTTTACCCCTTGGTCCCTAGTGTGATTCTAATGAGAATTGGTCCTTGGCCACCAGTGTGATTCCAAGGGGAGTTGGTCTAGACTTTGTTCCGATTTCAGTAGTATCTGTTGCACATTGATTGTACTTTTTTTATTTTTCAAGTTATTAATACAATTGTCGTTTGACAATAAAATCATTAGTGACAGGATAAAGGTCAGATTATTTAAATTTATCGCGGACTCGGCACAAGCTGATCATCACTTTTGTCCTACTAGGAACGTCTTTTTCTTTTTTCCTTCCAATTTGGCCCCTATAATAGGGTTTATTTTCTTTCCTCAGAAGGCTAACAATTTATTCTTACACTACCACAACATAACTATAACAAATATCTTCACAAACAAAGCATGTTTTATTTTTATTTCATTCTCCATACTAGTAGTAGAACTGAAAAACCACAACACATACTGATAAAAGACACTTTTATCTTACATTCGGGAGGCATTAAATAATATTAGTCCCCATTTTTCGTTTATTCATTTTCTCTTCCAAGTCCTTGAGAAATTGATCTAAATTTCTCTTGGACGAGCCACTTTCACCCCATGCACCACGCATTATGTTCCTAATCTTCTTCATCTCATTTCTCATACAATCCGATGTTTCCGCACTCATCAACTCCTTAATCTTAACCCTAACCCCTTCACCACTAACCGGTTCCCCTCCATCACATAGATTGATCCCGATTTTCCAATCGTCGACCACTAGTTTACGATTAGTGAATTGATCGTACAAAATCGGGTAGCAAATCATCGGCACACCACAACATATGCTCTCGAGTATCGAATTCCACCCGCAGTGCGTCAGAAATCCCCCGACTGCCTCGTGTGAAAGCACGGCCGTTTGATTACACCAAGGCACGATCGACCCTCGACCCTTAACTTCATCCTCAAACCCGACAGGTAGAACGTTTGATTCATCATTCGAGCTTAGGATTTTTGGTCGTATGGCCCAAATAAAATCCACTCG